CTCGGTTTTCAGAGAACCGGGGTTACCCTGGTAACCAAAAGTTCTCTTTCAAACCTCACTCGGTATCTCACTATGGGACATGTGGCCCACTCCCGAATTGCATGCTCCGAAGCCCACAACACCACCACAAGCCCTCCCCATGGGCTGGCACACAATTAATATGAACCCACACTCAGGAGGTTCTGGTGCCTTTAAAGCTCCCGCCGCGCCCTCTCACTGCCACAGCCGCAAAACCCAGGCGGGTTGGCGGTGGTGGGTGAGTTGCTGTCTTGCGGGGAAGGCAGAGATCAAAGGCTTCCCCTTGCTTCTTTCTCAGGAAGCTAGCTTGTTGCATGGCGGTAACAGCCTCACCAAACAAGCCCCTATCCCGTGACGGGTTGAACAGAGAATCCATTATGACCTGCTTAGCAAAGTCCAGGCCAGAGTAACCCTTGACGGGATCTCTGTGGCGGAAAGGCTTGTCCCAATACCGCTTCATCTCCTTCATGCACGCCGGAAAGGCGGGCATAAACTGCCTTGAGGAGACCTGACGAGAAGGCAGGATTTTGCCATCATACAAATCCCTCTCTTCTCCCTTGTCATCCTGCGACGCGGGCCAGTCGATAGCCAACCTGACCACCGCTCGCTTACACACCTCGTGCAGGTCCACCTCTCAAGGAGAAGAAGAAGGCTATGCCTCCTCGCCAACGGAGCTGCTGGGCCGCGACGGCCGAGCCAAAGGGAGAATGGCATCTTCATCATCCTCATCATTCTCATCACCGAGGAGATCTAGATCCATATCCTCCTCCTCGTCCTCACCGCCTGCCTCGAGGAGCTGACTGAACAGCGGAGGAAACTCTGCGTCGTCCCCCTCAACCATATCCCCCCAGCAAGCGTTGGCCGTAGCCAGCTTGGGCTTCGCCGCCATGTCGGCAGCCTCCAAGGCCAACCCTTGCCTCGCCAACGCATAAGTGGCGCTCCAGAATCCGCGACGGCATGGCGCAACAGTGCTCACAGGACTCAGAGTCGGCTAGCGATGTCTGAGCATGTTTCACCCCCATACAGGCGATGCAGAGGGGATGGGGGTCTCTCCCCGAGATAGTAAACCCACATGCGGCCGGGCAAGGGCGGGACTTGACGTCCTTACCCTTCCCGCCACCAGCGGTCCCCTTAGAGGATGTGGCAGTCGCTATAGCTGGCCCACAACCTTAACGGCTAACACTAGCAGTAAAAAACGGACCGCGCTCACCTTGACGTGCTAGCTTGATCCAAAACCAAGCTCAGGGTGGAAACCCGCCACAACACGTAATAATCCACCCAAACTGGTAATAACTTTTTTTGACAAAAGAATTACACTCACAATATCCTGACCCCAGATATCCACACTCGGTGACTACTACGACGGCTGTGTCGGAAAGCAGTTAAATGAATATCCAGGTATCAAGATGCTGAGGAGCTCAAATGATCTTCACGGGGAAGAGAGCGCCCATGCATCTGAAGATGATTGGTCTGTCTCAGGACAGACGTGGTGTTATTGGAGCTTCCATTATTGGTCACGCCAGGAGGCGCTTCCCATAGTGTGATACCGAGTGAGGTTTAAAAGAGAACTGTCCTTCTGTGTTTGTTGCTTCAGTGTAGCCTTAGCTTGAGTTTCCTGAATGAAGAGGATTCTGCTTAGTGTTTATTTTCCTCGTCTGTACATCTGTTGCATGGATTACAAATTACTCTTATTTGCTTTTTGTGTGCAGGGCTTTTATTACACTTGCAGTGGCTTGGTGAGTGTGCGTCTCTCTGTCTGTCTCACCTTGGAGCAGGTGGGAAGTGGAGAGACAGACAGTGGAGTGAGCTGACGACAGCTGCACTGTGCACAAAGTTTTGCAAGTAAAACACCTATACATTTTCACCTGTCACAATCTTCAACATGTTCTTCTTCCTCCTATGGATTTTAACGGCTATCTAGAATATTTGTAGGCGTAGATGCTGCCTGAAAGAATTGCATTCTCATTACCTGAAATACTGTAGAAAAATGAATTCCATCAAGTTTTCAGAATTTTGGCATTGACTTGGTACCAAAGTATCGGTTCTTGTGACATCCCTAAATAATATATATAATTTAAAAAAAGGCTGGACGCGTGATGAAGGTGCTCAAATAAAAGAATCCTACTAGGACGTAGAGCAACCACACCAAGATGTTGACATGACTACAGCCACCATTTGCCCGTTAATCACCCAATCACCACAGCTGTGTCAAGTCACAGCCAATCCAGACAGCTGCGAAGGATCAGTTTGACCCATTCAGTAAAGCAGTCATCACGACTGTCCTCAGGGGGAGATTTGGATGGAGAGGAGACAGACGTAAAGCAAGAGAGAAAGCGGGATGAACACATCTGTGAGAATCAATCTCAGTTTCCATTGTATTCACAAACAAGCACATCAGTGGGCTAATACATAAAGGGGAACATTTTTGTTGGATCAAATTATGTACAAGACTGGAAAACTTACAGCTTAAACACACACGCAATAAGTCAGAGACAACAAGTGACAGACAAAAACAAAGGGAAATTTATAATGCCTGGCTTCTCGGAAAATAGAATCTTATCTTTGAGTAACTAATGGTTTAAGGGCCAAATTAGTGTGTGTGAGAAATGTTTGTATAGTTCATCTTCAACAGACCAGATGTGGGACGTAGAATGTATTATCTCTTGTTTTCATAGACAAGTGCAAAAGATGCCAAGGTTTCACTGTGTAATTAAAACTCTTCACTCTCTTGGCACTCTGCCTCGTCACTGAATGATCGGAATCCTTTCCTTCTCAGGAAAGGATTTTTACAACTGACGTAGAGGAAAAGTGAGAGAGAGGGATGGAGGAAGCGAATGGTAGTCTGTTGACCCTGCCACCAGACTTTTGCATCCTTCAGATGTGGAATGTGGAACTTCCTCTCTCCGTCTCTCTCTACGCCTCCTTACAGGGTTTCCTGTATCCACAGAGAGTGTGCAGGTCAAAGGTCGGACCTACAATAAAGTTGGTCTGGTAAATTCTTGGCTCTGCATGCCAGAGTACAGTGGCTAGACCATTCCTTTCTTCACCTCTGTATCCTTTAAGAATGCATCCCTCAGGAGCTGCTCTTACTAGTGGGTGGGGAGTCCATTCCAGGCCTTGAGTTTACCACATCATACAGCTGATTTATATTTCCTATGAGCACTCTTTACAAGATAAGAGAAACAAAGGAAACTGGCAAGTTTATGCACTGGAAAGTTTACCTTTGAAATGTACAGACCTAGTATAACTTATGTACTTGAGTATTTTTACTACTGTTAACCAAGCAACTGCTCTTTTACACAATCCTGTCTCCTAGAAATTATGTTTGTAGAGCATTAAATTGTTTTCCCAATTACATTGTACTGAATTTGTGTGAATCTTTGTGTGTATAACGAGGTCAAGGCACTCAAAGTAACTCAGAACCACCTGACTGCTTGTTTTTGTTCACTTTTTTGTGTTTGTTGGAAATAAATCTTACAGCACTTCTTTTCCAGATGTTCTTCCCTGCTCAACCGACAGGTACAGCACAGTACTGCAGATATGCTTAGTATGTGGCTCAGATTTTATAGGAGTTTATGTCAGCTCCTCTACATGCCTATGGAAGCTAAGATTCAGCAGAACCCACTTCTCTATCTCCCTATTCAAATCTGTTTATTTTCACTCCTAAACACGTGCCCAGATGCTCTGAAAGGCAGACATTGGCTGTCTTCTTAAAGTTAAAAAACTCAACGGATGTGACACTCCAAACGATCAGAAAGCTACTTGATGATCTGCAAGGCACGTGTCTGAAGCCAAAAGCGGCTTTTAGTCATGCAGAACCTCGCTCACTCACTCTAAGCTTGTTATCTCACCATGTTTAGTCTATGTCTGTCTCTTGATTTCAAACCCCTCTCCCGTCTTTCTTTTATTCCCCTCCCTAATGGGTCTCCCACACTCCACACACTCCTTTCACCCTGATCTCCTCTTTTACAGAGGTTAATGTGTGAATTTCATCACTTAAACTGTGCCAAAGTGTGATAAGTATTTCAAACTAATGAGTTTCAGCCATTCCATATGTCCAATGTCAGACTAATACATTCACATGATCTAACATATTTACATTGCACTGCTGTGATACTTCAGTGTCCTACAAGAAGGCTTTGGTCCATGATCACACATGGTGCTGCTATGAGCTTAGTATTAGCTAGTTAACCTGAAGTAAAAATGGTATAAATAAGATAAATAAAAGCATGGATACTCTACATTACTTACACTACTACATTTTTCTTATTCAACAAATCCCATGAAAAGACCAAAACCAACTATGTGTCAATCTCTCTCTAAATACTTTCATACTTCCAACCTGGCCCAAACCCATTCATTCCAACAGAAGATGTAAATGTTTAAAAATGGGTCACAAACACATAATTTCATTTTTTAGAAAGAGGCTACGAAATTTCCTAAATCAGCTGGACACTGTAGTTACTTAGTAACTCAGACAGAAATAAACAGTGAATTTGTTGGGGACTATTTTCGGCTGTGGATTAATAAATATTTGGTGCGCTTCTGGGCCTTTACAGCAACACAGACGATACTTACTAGAAGCATCAATTCATAATTGATTTTGGTCTCTTTGTGGGATTTGCTGAGATTACAAAAAATATAGAATAACACCACCTTTGTCTTTTAAAATATGAGAAACTATGAGAAGTTAATAGGTTTCTTCAAGGCTTTGCTATTTGTTTTTTTTCTAAACACTTTACTGAAATTAGAAAGCAGCATATGTGATCATGGCCTTAATTGGTATTCAGACTGAACACAAGGAGGTAGGTTAACACAGAGGTTAAGAGAAGGAGAGACAGAGAGAGAGAGAGAGAGAGAGAGAGAGAGAGAGAGAGAGAGAGAGAGAGAGAGAGAGAGAGAGAGAGAAACAGAGAAACAGAGAGGAGGAATGTTTGAAAACCTATTTAGAACAGCACAGTGAGGGACAGTAAGGGGCTTACCCTGGCACCCTTCTCTGGGAAACATTTACAGCCTCCGCTGCAGTCTCTTCCTCCACAGGGGCCACTGTGCTTCTTCCCACCCTGTCAGACACAAAAACAGACGACATTAGAGTTAGAGCTGGGCTACTGGAAGTCAGGGCATAGATGTCACATATACAGGAAAACAACATTTTGCTGTCCACTTCATTTGCATGAACACAGCAGAGATATTTCCGCATTGTGCATTGGATGGGACACAGTGTGGGGTATATTGCTGTGTACTGTAGGTGTGACCGGCTGTGTCTGTGTACACTGCGGTTTGTGAATACACTTGTGGTTTATGCCTGCGGCTCGGTTGCATGAGTGTGGAGGATTGTTGCAGTGTTGTCTGCGCTGTTGTGTATATTGGGCTGGTGTGCAGAGGATGTTTTGGAAGTGGCTCAAATGACTCATAATGGAGACATGATGGATGACCATATGTCCATGAAAATCCAATTCATCAGATAGGCTGGGTCCAACTACTGACAGGGAGAATTTGTCTTTGGATGTCTGCATACCAAAAAAAAAAAAAAAAACCCACCCACTATCACTGGCTGATCTGTGCTAGACATGACACAAGCGCACACACACACACACACACACACACACACACACACACACACACACACACACACACACAGAGCCAGTCAGGGGTTAGTGTGGGCATGACATGGTCAAAGAAAGCATTCTCACAAACGGGGTTTCCCAACCCGCGGGTCAGAGGTGTCAGGACCCTAGCTAGCTGAGATAGCTGGAAACCCTAACTAAGACAGAATGAAGTCTTGGAGAACTTTTGTGTTTGTGTGGTGTTGAAATGAAATGAAAATCACATGCAAAATCCAAGTTGAACCCTTTTTGCCTTTTCAGATCTTCTGCCACGACCACATTTCTTACTCATCAGAAGCAGAAGCAAAACAATTTGAAGTGTTGACAAAACTGTAGACACAACATAGCATATTGAGTGCCACACCTTAACTCTCAATGCTGCAAAACAGACACATTTCAAGATATTAGCTCCAAAAGTCATTTCTGGAATTAACATATCCACATGTTCCTCATGTTCTTTTAATAGATTTGTGGGTTAATCAGCGACTGTTCAGACCCTCCAGCACTCTTTCTGTGCGTGTTCAAATGCATGAGCGGAAACTTCTGGATAGTTCACCTTTTTTTTCCGCTGAACTTTTCACAATGGTGCCTGAGATTGAATAGTAATGAAATACACACACACACTGCAGATAGTGTTTATTCAATTCCTTCAGTGGCCTTTCAATGATCATGTATGAGTGAAACTTTGACTACAGACATGGAGAGGGGCTCCATGTGCTGGTTATGACGTCTCTCTTTTGTGTCTGCCCACGTCCTCCACCTACACAGCCATACCATACCAAATGCCTCAATACCCTCCCCTCTCCCTTGTTAAAAAAAAAAAAAAAATTAAAATGGCCACTTTATGCCCACAGTGGCAACAAAACAGCAGATCAAGAATCAGAAAAATTCTCCCTCCTCACTTTGACAGTAGATCCCAGCGGTCTCTGTCTCACAATGGCCACATTGAGACCCTCCTCACACACAAAGACCTTCTTTTACTATAGAGACGCCATCCTTTAATGATCCCCTATCTACACAACACAAAAGACCCTCTTCCTCTCTCTTATGGAATGCACAAGGCGGCATTTCTTGTTTAACCATCAGTGGATCTGAGGGGTTCCTTTCAAACCGTTGTTTGATATGGCGTCTACATGCTGTGATGGGTTTAATTTAGCCTGCGTGCTATGGTGGCTATGGCACACTCACTCTGTCCACAAACAACATCTTTTTAACTTATTTCCCTAGTTCTGAACTGATAAGTTGAAAGATGATATATTCCAGCCAAGCTTCCCTTGCAGGGGGAATACCTTTACAATACTTTTAGTTTCAGGAAGGGGGGCAGAAACAGAAGGTCATATCATCCCAATAAGGATGTAACAGAGTCACGGCATGACCTTTCTTCACATTGAGGTGGAAGTCCAACACACAGACAATAGACTGCGTCATCTCCGGACAGACACACAAAAGAATGGCTCCCATAAAGGCAATAAAGGCAACTGCATATTATGAAGCAGCGCACCAACAACTTTACTGGTTACAGGCTCAAAATAGCTGATGGCTGTTTCAGCAGAGGACAATAGGATTATGCTACAGTATCCTGTTTTTTTCCCCACCCACTATCACAATGACTGTTTATCAAAATCACCTTTTCCATACTTACTGCACGATACACCTTGGAAAAAAAACTGGATGATAATGTGTTGCTCTGTGCAACAAAGCTCAGAAAAAGGTGAATAATGGTGAAATGATGAAATTGACTGACTTGCCTAATACACCAACCAGTGTCTATGTAACAAGTGAATTTCCCCAGTGTGGGATCAATAAACTCTATCTTCTCTTATCTTATCTTACCTATCACATTTGTTCGGTTCATTTGATGCAGACCAAGGAAAATACATTGTTGCCTTTTCGTTTTGGTCATTTTGTGACTTATTACAAACAACTTCAGGAAATCACTGTCCAGTGACTGACAGAAAGTCATTTATTTATCTGTATGTGTTTATTCATCTTCTCGACTGATCTCAAAAGGAAATAATGCATAGTACAGACTGCAACTGGACCTCTATATCATTAAAAGAACAGCACTGCACTCCTAGCAAATTCTTACACAAAAAGCATCAAAATCAAAGCAGCAGAACCAGATATATCGCCTGGCATTACCCACAGTGCAACTCCACCACTGACAGTTTGGTTTGGCATTCATGCTGGCAGCAACTAATGAAGCTTTCTTTTTCAAACTTGTATTTTTCATTCCCAACTAATACTGACTCAAGTGACATCCCTTGAGGTTATTTATCAAACATGTGACATATAGAGCCACAAAAGCCAAATGCCAAAATATACAGAGTAGGATAGAAGCTTAGCAACCGCCTAAACAAACTGAAACAAACATGCCAACTAACCACACCATAATCTGATTAACTGGTGGGCTGGTATTATAGCTGTCAATGAACTTTGTTGTGGACCAAATAAAAGCACCAAGACCGCTTGAAAATGTGGATCTCATTTCACTACCAAGCTGATTCATTTGTGGTGTGAACGCAAACCAGAGCCACAACAGGATTTTGTGACAGTAGATAAGTGATTTTGGCATCAATTCAAAAGTTAAATGAATAAATTCATCAAATAAATACACATATCCACATATATAAAGCGAACAAAACCACAAGTGTACCAGTGAGGGTAAGTTCACAGACGGAAAAGAGGTCAGTGAGTGCTTTTTTACCCTTTACAATATTAGATCAAAAACTAGTTGCCATAACATACTGAACAATGCAACCACCTAAACACCACAGTGTGGGGTCCTGCAGACTGTTACATATAAATCTGACACCAATGTACCTGAATGGTATACCAGACTCAATATTTCATCTGTGAGCCAAAGAGACACACAAAGTAGCAGAAGATAGCTACGTGTCCGCTGGTGAATGTTCATTTCCGCCATTTTTATATAAAGAACCCATTAATACATTTTATAATAGTCCAGAAAGTTTTTAAGTATAAATGAGAACTCATTCTAATGCCTTTGTTATGAGAACTGTCAGACAACAGTGTATATGATATGAAACAATGGTCATAAACCAGGTCAACTCCTTGGATCCGGTTTGCTGTGATTGTTCATCTGTGGCTTCTCGTTTACAGTACGGCTCTCCAGTGTTGATCATCTTTTATGTCCTGTGAACTACCTTCACAGATCTGGGGGTTCCGCTGCGGTCATCTGCTCTACTTCCAAATTGCAGTCACGTACATAGACATAAACACGCTTTCCACAAAAAAATACCCTCTCCTCTTCATATACAAATTAACCTGCACGTTTGTGTGCACCACTCAGACCACACACGCACGTCAAAGGAGAAATAAAAGATAGATTACAAAAACAAAGTAACAACAGCCAAAACAAATTCTACTCCTCTCATGCCAAGTTCCTCCGTTTTAAAATGTGTGTACATGAGTTTATTCATTATTATAAGCAGAGCTACAAAATGAAAATAAGTGTTAATGTGAAAAACAATACCCCTTAAAGAAACACTCCAACACTTGTTAGAGTTCAGGGAGTTCAGCCCATCCACAGTGCTCTGCCCTATGCCCAGACCCTGTGTGGAAAATCCCTCCCATTCCAACGTTCCTCTACCTGCCTCTCTCCTAACTACATATTTCCACCCTGTGTGAGTGTATCTGTAGGGGCATCTACTGTATATGCAAGACATTAACATTCAGTATTTTCCATCAACATGCTTCCTAATTGATGTGCTGCGTACAGATAACCTAGAGTTCTCAGATGTGGTCGGATTAATGCCTTTCCTAATGAGGAATGTTGTTTTTGTTGCCTCCCTGTTCTTTATGGCTTCACTGGTGCCTCACTCTGAATGTGCACCGACTTTTTTAATATACAGTAAATGCAATAAAACCAGCTGGGTCAACAGCACTCTTTCTCACGCTCAGTTTCTTTCTTACTCTCTTTTTTATTAATGCTAATAAAAATCTGGTTCAATATTTTTTTCTTCTAAAACAGTATAATTTATTGGCTACTGGTGCTTGAATATGCAGTTTTTATGCAATAGCACACAGTGAAGTGACAGTAATGAGACAATAATAGATAAGCTGGAAACATCCATTGGCAACCATTACTGTCCATAACTTTCTGGGTCTGACTTGTATAAGGGCGTCTTACCAAAGTAAAATGGAGCTGTGACAACTGATACAAACTATGTCGTCTTGCAGATAGTAAGAATAATGTTTCTTATATTTCCAGTTCCAGTTTAACTGCATTTAAGTGAATAGTTCAACAGTTTGGGAAATACACTTAATTTCTTTCTTACCAAACATTGGAAAAAAGATCATTACCACTCCCATGTCTGTACACTAAATATGAAGCTACTGTCAGCAGCCAGTTATCTTAGATAAGGATAAAGACTGGAAACAGGGGGAAACAACATTTCACACTAATTAACAGTTTATATCTTATTTGTTTAATA